ACCAGTCCTTTGAGTTGGAGAGAAAAACTTGTGGAAAGCAAAGGTATACTGAGTAGACTGACAGTCTGTTTGGCTTATTGTTATTGGCGCTGGATCCTTGGGAGGGGGTAAGAATTCCAGATCAACGCCCTCCCCCAAAGCTCATTTCCACTGGAGTACCTGGAGAATAGTCCTCAGTCATCTTCATTTCACATTTCCCCTAGTTTTTGAGATAAGAAAATTCCCAGTAGGTCTGAGAAGACCTGCTGACTAAAGATTCTAAGCTCACCCTACCAATCAGAGAAGAAACATATTGCTGAATTCATTGACATTTTCATTCTGTGCATTTAGCAGGCAATATCCTCTCCAAATTGGTATGATAGAATCTATTCCTTCTACCATGTATAATGGTAGGCAGTATATTTCTTTCTTTCTTTTTTCCCCTAATGCACAGGAATGTGAAAAATAACTACCAAGAATGAATTATTTGAGTTTAACACACAAGCTGTTGCTGGTCACTAAAACCCATTTGTGACTTGTCAAGGAAATGTGTGAAATCGCAGAATCATTTCCCCCATTGTAGCTGCCCGTTGGTGTGCGTAGAAACTAGACATTTCTGATTGGATGTTTGGAAGAGAAGGACCTCTCCAAGAAACCCCTTTAAGCACTCAAAAAACCCCAAGTAACAAATGCGAAAGCTATAGCACTTCCCTTCTGCATCAGTTCGTTCGCTTTGATCGGCATCTGTAACTTTCAGACTCTGCAGCAGTGACTCAAGACGTGGGCAGACTGGAGGCACAGCAACTTTGCTCAAGCTTGGTGAGGTCGTTTAAGCCAGGCTCGGGAAAGGAGGTACAAACACAGCCCCCCTACACACACACACACACACACACACACACACACACACACACACACACACACACACCTCCTGAAACACAATGAGCTCAATATTTACAGACTCATGTATTTTGAAATGTATATTAAATAAGAAGTCGGCCTACCTCACCTGGACCTAATGGCCAATCAATTTACCAGTGGCCACTCTGCCAGGCTCATAGCCAGGCTCCCTTCCTTCCTGGCTACACTTGTTTTTAGACTCTGTGACTGAAAATGATAGTGTCTTACATACTGGCTTCACAGGGGTTCATGTATTCTGACTCAGCAACACTCTGCTCATCCCTTGGGTACTGCTGACAGTACTACAGACAACTGAGTCAGGATCAACAAAGGCCAGAGCCTACTGACTCTGATCCAGAGCCATGAAAGAGTCTTAAGCAATTCCCCTAGAGGACTGCACCAAATCCTTCTCTTCTCATATTTCCAGACCCAGTCAGTGCTTCCAACAACATCTACTATTGTCCTTTACCCAAAGGACACCCAATACTTCTCCCAAGGGTAAATGGAATGAAAGAAGGATAAATGAATAATAGAGATTTGGCAAACATTAGTCAACACATTGAAGGTTCAGATACTGCTGATCTTAATCAGCAGCTCTTAAACAACTTACAAACGTGGTTTGTTTTTATCCCAAAATGTTGACTCAAACGGTATTTAAAAAAATATTTGAATTAGCTATCAACTTTTATATATTTGAGAGATTTCACATATAATTTATATTTCCTCCTTTTCTTGCAGGAAAAGTGTAGGGATTTGGTAATATCTAATTTGTGTATCAGCATACATAACCTTAGCTGGTGCTTTGACGCCCCAAACTGAAGTCAAATTTATTTTAATGTAATTGCTTTGGGCAAAAAACAGTAGAAAAGGACTCATCAGCTCTTTCTGTCATTTTTTCACGTAATTTCGTCTGCCCTGGTCTGTTATTGGGAGATGCTGAAGAAGTGGATGCCACTGTCCACAGTGAAGATCAATGGGATCACACAAAGTGGTATCTGCTGCTGTGGTTTAGAGTATCCCTCATAGGCCCCTGTGTAAAAGAATCAGTTCCCATCCCATGAGGTGGGGCCTAGTGGGGGGGGGTCTTCTGGTCTTATGAAGGGTCTCTAGTATGTATGAAGAAGTGAATGATACTAACTTGGAGAGAAATATTTAATTATATTTTTATAAGAAATTAGGAGAAAATCACCATTTTCTAGGACAGCTATGTTGTAGAGAGGAGATGAAGGCCTGAGTGAACACGTATTATCTACACGAGTACAGTCCTGTCAAGGACCCCAGTGCCTCAGACTCTTGAGGATGGCAAAGCCTTCCCCTGGCTATGTGGAGATGATGACAGTGTGTCTGAAGGAATCTACCTAAGCTTCCTCTTCCCAATACTGATAGCCAGAGACTGCTCCCCTATGAAGACCTCTTCTGGAGATTAGCTAAACCTGCTTCCTCATTCAGCTGTATACAATAAGCCTGCCTCCTCCATTATGATGTAGAAAATTAATGTCTGAGTTTCCGGACTGCTGCTGGTGCATCTCCATCAGAGCTCATGGCCCACAGGATCTCAGTTTTTCTGTAAGTGTGTCTGTGTGTCTGCCCTTTCTGCATTCCCTCTTCATCCTGCTCAGCTGTCCAGGATCAAGCCGTGCAGGTTGTGGCAATATATGAGTTTGACTAATGGTACTCTGGAATTTTACAAAGGATTTCATTTATAAATAAGTCATCAGAAAGTATTTACCTGCTAACCATAAAAATCCCAGGCACACATAGTAAAATATCCTTATGAGGACTCCCAAATCAGATATTTACCATTTCAGCTACACATATAGCATTGGATGAATCTTCCTATAAGATGAGATCTTGCAATAGTCAACATCCTAGCAGGAAGAAGGTGGTACACTTGGTTTGGGTCATTTAATGAGTTTAACAAAAGACAAACTTGTTGTTCGAGTCTTAAATGGTCTTAAAATAAAAACTCAGAGCCAGATGTTGGGGTGAAAGCTGAAAGATCAGAGAAGCAGAGCAAGCCACAGCCAACCTCACTTCACCAACCCCTCAGCTGATCCTGTTTCCTCAGACTGAAAGCCTCCAAGTCCTCGCCAGAAAGGGTCTCAGCTGAACTGCTTTAGTTCCTGTTTCCTTATATACTTTTCTCCACTCTGCCGTTACTTACTGGGATTAAAGGCTGTGTGCTTCCCAGTACTGGGATTAAAGGTGTGTTCCACCATGGCCTGGCTCTGTTTCCAGTGTGACCTTGAATTCACAGAGATCCAGATGGATCTCTGCCTCTTGAGTGATAGGATTAAGGGTGTATGCTACCACTGCCTGGCCTCTATGTCCAATCTAGTGGCTGGCTCTGTCCTCTGATTCTCAGGCAAGCTTTATTAGGGTACACAATATATCTCCACGCACATTTTCAAAGATGTGAGAGACACATGCCAAGGTCTGAAAGACGGGGGGGGGGGGGGAGCACTTAGTAAAAGAGAAAGTTAAGGGAGGTTGGGGAGGGAGAGAGCAAGAGAGAACAAGCTGGACTCCAGAGACGGTGGAGTTTGAGTCCATGTCCATCCCCAACAGTCCTAAGCAGTGCGAATAGAGCAACAGCTTCCTTGAGGTCTTTTCTTCTTTTGGTTTTCTGGCTAATTCCCCAGGGGAAGCAAGAAGACAAGGTGATGTTCACACAACCAGCCTCCTAGTGTGTGCAGCAAACATGAACAACAACTAAAGCAAAGGAGAAGTGGGAGGAGCTAAGAAAAATTGCCCATCAAATAGTTTTCCAATGACCTCAGTGTTTTCGAAGATGTCTTCACTTCCATGTTGATTGCAACACTGTTCACAACAGCCAAAATACAAGAATCAAACCACACAAGTGAGCAAAGAAAACATGGTACATATATACAACGTATTTATTATTCAGGCATCAAAAGGGCAAAATCATGTCATCTGGGGCAACTTGGATAAGCCAGAAGGACATAAAATTAAGTGAAATAAGCCAGGAGCAGAAGACAAACAACACTATCTCACTCTTTGTGGAAGCAAGGAAGGTGTGGGAAAGAGGGATAAGAATGGCCTGAGACGGATCGAAAGCTCTAGTAGGAAAATGCACTAGTGTTCTATTGTATGACCTAGTGACTAGAGTTTTATATATATTGCCTATTTTGAAGTAGCTAGAATAGAAGATTTTGAATGTTTTCACCAAAAATAAATGAAAAGGGCAAAGAGATAAGATGTGTAACCCCAGGAGCTTTGGTGAAAAAACACAGGAAGACGCTCAATGGGGGGGGGGGGAGGAGTGACTTCCTTACCACTGTCAATCAAGCTTCCTTTTGCCAAAGCTGGTGATCCTTTACCTTGCCCAGCATCATAGGTTTCATTAGAACCAGAGCAAGCTTCGGTTTTTTGATAGTGAAGAGCGGCTGTCCACACCAAGATTTGGTTCAAGTGCAGAGCGTTGTTAGTGAGAACATAAGTCAAATGACTTCATCCCCTGGTGCTGCTGCCTACTTCCCATAGCCCCTGTGTCCTTTGTCACGACACTGCAGCTTGCAAGGAAGAACCAGACACTGCCATGCTGGAACGCTTGACTGGATAATGGGGCCCCTCGTCTCCAGACCTGGTCTTTAAGCTACTGTCAATGCTTGAGTTCAATTCTTGGGAAGGTAAGTCCCATGGAGGAGAGGGTGGGTTTGCCAGGAACACTGCCCTTTCTCCATCATGAGGGAAACACTCAGTGAACACTTGTTGGATGACTTATTCAGTTGATAAGATTTAAATACATTTTATGCATAAGTTATATTTAATATACACTAAACAAATATGTATCAACACAATACAAATACTACATACACACTATTTGTTATATTATATATATATATATATTATATTTTACACATACCCTATTGTAATTACTATCACTAGAACCTAGCTTACAAATTTTCAGCTGTATTTTCAAAATAATTAACTAATAATGTGAAAGTGACGAATAGCCAAAGAACATTTAGGATTACGTACTTCCGGAATAGCTGGGTTTTACTGTCAGTGTAAGTTTTTTCTCTTTGAAGTCATTAACGTTACCTCATCTTCACAGCTAGGCCAATGCAGTTTCCATGGTAACATCTTGGTGTGGAGATTGCGTGAAGAGCCATTTGGTCCAGGGAACCGGAAGTAGAGGAGGAAGAGCCCGGCATGCCGGTCATCTACCTGTGTGCCCGCTCTCAGCAGAGCACTTCACACACCCAGCTGCCTGTCAGGAAAACAGTCTCTCCAGACACCTCGCTCTTTCAGGTCCGTGCTCACAGAGCTTCCAAAATGTAGCTAGTCCACAGTGGCTCCGTTTTGTGCCTGCTGGAGTAAGAGGTGGTAAGGCAGGGAATGACCCTTCAACCACGCGGTCTGCTCTGAGTCTACGTGGGACTGAGATGGCGTGCACTGGGGGGGGGGGGGGGGCAGGGTATTAGAGTCTTTTGAAAGCGTTAGCGCTTCCCTTCTGTGCCCCTCACTCTTTAACCACCCTGCTGACTTTGCATCACCACAGAGAAGCTGGGCAGCCCCCCCCCCCCCAACACGTGTGTCTGGGTCACTGCAGAGGCTGGCTCCCCAGTGTGTGACGGCCTGTCCTCGTCCTTCTGTTCAGGTCCACGCACACACAGGCAGCACTAATTGGACTGAGTGAATGAAAAAGCAAAAGGACATGAATTTGGGAGGGAGATGTGTTGGAGACTTCAGGGGGCTGGATTTGGAGAGAGTGAGTCCGGGGTAGATATGACCAAGATACATCATGTAATTTTTAAAGAATAAGAAATATTTTAAAAGAGAAATGTGGGAGTAAGCAAATTAAGCCAATTCTCATTTTTCAAAAAAGGCTACAATTAAAAAGTACTATTAAATAAGTAGCTCTTACCTTATTCATTCATTATCGTCTGTCAAACTGAAGCTAGATATAAATGAAGATAATATTTAGGCATAGTATGTGTATATATGTAGATATCTGTATACTCTGCCTACACACACACACGTACGGTATATGTATATGTATATGATCAACTGGATTTCTCTTTGCTAGGTCTCACTTTCCAGGTCAAGAACCTTCCCGGTAGCTGTCTGGATCCAGAAAGTTCTTGCAGTCTCTGAGCTGGCTGTGCATCCTTGACGCCTCTCATAGCGCCCCCTCCCCGCGGGGTCTCCCCACTCCGTCCACAGCATGGTCCTCAACGCCCCCTCCCTGCGGGGTCTCCCCACTCCCCCGCAGTGTCTCCCCACTCCATCCACACCACGGTTTTCCTCAGCGCCCCTCCCCCGCAGTGTCTCCCCACTCCGTTCACAGCGTGCTTTTCCTTTGCCCTCAGCAGCTCTGTGCATCATCTATGTCGTCTTTCTACTTCCTCTGCTCTGGTGCTCTGCTGCCTCGCTGGCTGCTGGCTGCCTCTTTGCTCTCTCATTTCAGATGCCTTCCCTCCTGGGACCCAGCTCCCACTATGGTCTTCTCGTATTCCTTGTGCTACTCAGTACCTAAAACCCCAAGGACAAAAAAACCAAACAAAACACAGGAAGCTTAAGTCCTTTACCACTTTGGATGATGCCACACTTTGGACCTTGGGTACAGATACTTAAGTTAAACATGTTAGATGACTTGCGCTCTCTCCTTGGTTCGTGCCCAGGAACAGGTACATTGTAAGGGAAAACAGTCTTTTTATTTCGCTTTACCATCACCCCAAACCTATGCTGGTGTGCATGTCAATTTAAGGGGAAATGGAGCACCTACTGCAGGAATGGTGAGATACGGCACGTGGGGGAAACTTTTGTTTGCTTTTCATGATATCACTTCTCATATTCCAGGAGCAGACAGCAATGTTTTATTCCCTAACTCTAGGCCTTTATAGTCCAGGTGGAATGCTATCCTCGGCTCCAAGGATGGCACAGGTAATCCAGCCCCAAGTAAACTACGGCACCCATTGTTTTGGTGGGGGCTGGAGCTTCAGTGATAGGTACATGATACAAGCCTATGAAGCTGGAGTGAATTTCAACTCTGCCTCATCTATTGAACTTAGACTCAAAAGTAGATGAGGCTGGAGCAGCTGCAGCTCACTGTCATGAGGTGAAGCGGGATCATAACGCACAGAGGAGAGCAGAGGTTCTGAATGAAGCTCTAACTCAAGGCATTATCGCTTACTACCCATCCCACTGACAAAAGCCAATGCTTCTATCCTTGAAAGTTCATGCACTAAAGTGTGAATACATCAGGGGAATTTATGTTGTTGACTTCTGTTTTCTTTTCTTTTGAATATCTAAACATAAATTCCAGAGCAGAGAGACCAGACGTTTTACAAAGAAATGAAAATTTGAACATACACACAGACCACATTAAAAACCTTTTATGAATTACCAATTAATCTTACATTGTCAATGCTAGACAGCCATATTAGACTTCATTCAGCCAAAAAAAAAATTATAGACTCTGTAAAAAAAAAAAAAAAAAGTTTACTTTCGACCAAGAGTCAAGGCTTCTGACCTTTGTCCAGGAAGAGATCTGTGTGATCCTGTGCGTGGGGTCCAGCACAAAGGCGGCTTGCCTGGTGTCAGGGCGTCTAGTAGGACTGACGCTATGCAAAGCCAACACACTCCACAAAGGTCTGAAAGGTCACCACTAAAGGAGTCTGCTCATCTGGCTCACCTGCAGACCCTACCATTCCTCCCTTTCCACCACTTCCCTGCACTTATTCCTCCCCTCGAAAGGAACAGTCTAATATTTCCAGACCATTGCAAAATCTAACTAGCTGCTTGTGCTTGTGTTTGTTTGTTTGTTTTTTAATCAACTCATGCTCCAACTTCAGTGCAATTCATAACACCACTTAACCGAAAATTACCCTTTCAACGTCTAACCAGGCGGCGAGTGGCACCCTCAGTGGGGTGAACTATTCTTTGCTTGTAGTGTGGGAAAGACTCCAGTTACCAGGAGCGCTAATTGATCCTTAATGGATGTAAGGATTATGAGCCCCACCACCATGGAGCTAGGCCTGTTTTAAAACAAATTAGCCCTTGCTTCACCTCTGTTCTCTTTAGGAAACACCCAGCCAAGCCATGTGTGGTAGCTTGGTACGTGTGACCTAATTCCAACTTCATTAGAGAGCAATTAGCCAAAAAAAAAAAGGTGTATTTTTAAATGAATGTCATTTAGTAAAAAAGATTCTCTACATTGATAGTTCATTTCTCCCCTCAGCAATAAGGAAGGAAGGATACTTCTTTTTTAAGCTTTAGTTTTTTAGTTACCATACCTCACTATGGTATTTTCACATATAGATGACATTATACTGAGTTTTTATTCACCCCTCCCCCACTGGTCTGCCCTATCCCTTCAAAAGTCCCCCCACGAGGAATGAAGAATATCTCATTTTTATACAAAGGGAAGTACAATAGAAAAATAGAAACAGTTGGCTACATGTCTTTCCTCTGAATTTCAAGCGATTTTTGAAAATAAGAAAAATGAAATTTAGAGGTGGTAATCATAGCTTTCTACTTTTTCTCCACGAAAAAATAAATAAAAGTATTAACAATAGAGACTGCCTTCTCCCCAAGGAGGAGGTGTTTGGGCACACTTAGGCAAGCATTTTAGACTGTCTTTAAAGTCTAAAATAAACAAAGCCATTTTTCTTTCTCAGGAGGAGCAACTTGATCCGGCCCTGGCACCTTTTCCCGGCACATCCTCTTTAATGAGGCAACGCTGTCTGGTCACATCCTGCCTGCCGGGGACTTTTTGCAGAGCCACATATACTGCGAGCGTATTTATTTACCAGCCACCGTTCCTTCCTTCAATTCCCAGCAGGGCTTCTTTTTACCCACAGACTATAACGGAAAAAAAAAAGTTGAAAAAAAAAAAACCAACTGTGTTTTTTATAGTTAGAGGAGAATTACTATAGGCTTGTTTGGGATGATCTTTTTTTTTTTAAGTTTGTCATTTACTTTTCTGAAAATTTCTTCTTTTGTATATGAGAAAGTCATGGAATTTAAGTTCTACACTCAGAGTCCTCGCAAAATATGACAGCCGTTGCCACCAACGTCCACAGGAAGGAAACTTAATGGGTTTTGATGTCCCCTCCCTCAGCCGTGAATCCTTTTCCCTCTCTCTTTCCCCAGCATATCTTTTTTTTTCTCTTCTCTTTCTTCTTTTTCTTCCACACAACACAACGCAGAATCCCAGGGAACCTTTTGTTCGCTGCCAGGTCAACAAGAAGCCAAATTAAAAACTAACAACTTTTGGATTTCAACAGACGGACAAAGTGAGTGTAGACTAAGAAGCAAAAAGAAAAAAAGAAAGAAAAGAAAAAAGAAAAGCAGGGGGTTGGGGGGGGCACGGGTGGGGAAGACCATAAAGAAAGAAAAGCCCGGCTTGAGGGATTTGGAGGGCAGCGGCTCTGGAGGGGCCGAGCTGCCTCGTTTGATGTGGGAGGTCTGCCCACAACCTGCTGGGATGCTCTCTGGGACATCTCATTAACTGTGTCATCAAAGCCCCTCAGGTCCAGCGAATCATAACATTATCTCTGACATTACCACACAGATACAAGGTTCCCGAGGCAGTCTATAAACATACCCGTACTAACCAATTCATCGTGGCTTGACACCCCGGCAAGGGCTGGATGCCCTTTAGTGAGCTCCGTGAATTGCCCCAGTCATTCATCAAAGTTTCTTGGAGTGCATTTCACACAGCATTAAATTTAATTAAAGCAACATTGACTGCATTGTAATCCTCGGGAGACTCTTTGTCGGGGGACCTGGAACGCTTTCGGCTTAAAATGTCTATTGTTTTGTCGGAGGTTTTCTTGGTTGTTGGATTTGAGGTTTGAACTATTTTTTAAAGGATGGATATCCGGATCAAATTGAAGTGGCGCAGACCATCCTTTCTTTACTCTTTTCTTCCCTCTATTCTCCTCTCTTTATTCTCCTTCCTTTCCCTTTTTAAATTTCCTAGATCAAGAGATAGGAAACACATGTTATACAACTAGCTTCAAGAAAGTGGGTTGCAATAATCTAAATAGTTCTGTAATCTCAATAATGCAATCAGTGCACAGCACAAGAAAATGGGGTGCACGCTGGCACACAAAGACTTTCCAGTGCAGAGATGTGCTAACCTCTGCCCCCCAGGAAGCAGAGAAGCACACCCCAGGCTCGCTCAACTCCACTTGTGCCCTAGCTCTCAGCCGCAGACTGTGACAGAGGGTTGTTCTTAAAGCGCTGGCACTTTGCTACTGGAGGTTGTAGGTAATTCTACCAGACACTTGGAGTCCTTACTGATGTTTTTAGATGAATGCCCTCGGTAAGGTGGGCTGAGCTAAAAATAAATGTCCTTCCTCTTTGTCAGCAAAGGAAACTGGATGGCAGGAAAAGGGTGGAATACTAGAGAGGTCCATGAGCTGTTCTTACATCATTTAGTATTTGCACTCTAGTTGTGTTATTTATGGAATGTGGCTGTGTGCGTGCGTGCGTGCATGTGTGTGTGTGTGTCTATGTGTGTGTGTGAGAGACAGACACACAAAGAGACAGAGAGAGACAAAGACACACATAGAGGATGTGTATGGAGTGATAGGAGTTAGTCAGACAGTAAAGGGAAACAAAAAGAATAAACTGAAAACTCACGGGGAATATCAAATAAGTGTAGAGCTGCCATCATTTTTAGTTACTTTTGGAAAAAGAAAACTATTAAATCCAGCTGTCTTCCTACATTACTCCCACAAAAGAGTACAAAATCATCAGAAAAGCTAAGTCTAAATGACATACATAAGGATGGGAATTTGAGGAAGTGTGATTTGGTTAAACCAAGCTCAGATTGGTCTCACTGGAGAGAGAGTAAATTCCTTTCAGAGATTATCCATACCGCTTTCAATTGTTTATGATCGTCTGGTGTGGTTGTACTGAGTGACCCAATTTCCCCACCAAACTCCAGTATGTTTACTTCAATCTGTTCAGTGAGCATTACCATATGAATCTGTGCACATCAAATCTGTTTTTCCAGAAAATGGTAAGTCATTCGAATTTTCGGTTTCAATTTCTTGGTCTGCAAAATGGGAATTAAAAAAAAATTGCTACATTCCCAAGCTCACAGGATATTGCAGGATCATACAGAACAATGTATATAGTGAATGCAAAAGTTCTGGAATCAATGTGTTTCGCTATGGTAATGTGATTTTAATGTAAAATATCAACTATGAAAAATAATGACAAAAATGTGATTTTTTACCCCTTAAATTAAAACATTTATCATTCTGATGGGTGTTTGAAGCTCAAAGAATCTACTGTCTTTTAAATGTATGACCTGGTAAACAAAGAAGAAGGGTAAGAAGAGGAGGGTCAGTAAATAGAAATGATTTGGGCCAAACAAAGAAAAACAATAGATTCACATCATGCTGTGGCCGAACAAAGGCAGAAATGAAAAAAGATGGTTTAACATGTTGGATGCCAGGAACATAGCAGATTAGAAGATAATCTGGGAGGAAATCTATCTTGGGATTAAAAGACAATTTATTATTCCATTTTCTCTCACAGGTATACCTAGTCATTGGAGAGACTGGTGTTGTGGCAGGAGACACACAGTGTGTGCCTGGACATGGTATGCCCAGCTGTGGCTTCACATCTTACAAGCACGTGACTTTTGCGACTTACCTGAGTTCTGAGCCTGCGTTTCCCATCAATTATATGGAGATAAGGATATCTCCTCAAAGTGCTTACGCTTTTATGAGGACTGTGGAAATGCATTCATGCAACGTCTGATGCAGCATTACACATACAGATTAGGAAGGGAAAACCAGAGCACAGAACACAGAGATTGTACAGTAGAGTCTAATTGGTGTGCAGAGAACTAATTCGAACCACCGCTTTCTAGATTGTGAACTTGTAGCCTCCCTGCTCCCCACCACCTCCCTGTCTAGACCATTGCGCTGATTTCACAAAAGTGTTTGTTGGACTGTCAAGAAATGGAGGAAAACGCTTTCCCTCTTGTGTTGGATTGTGATATTATTGCAGAGGAAGATCTGGTCAGAGCTGCTCAGGGAGCATGGAAGGGCGTTGATGGGCCTCAGCTCCTGACGCTCTGGGCAGTGGGAGGGATTATGTTAGTCACGAGAAAAGGACATCTGCAAAGTGGAATTATTTCACTGGGTAAGTTCAGAAAAGGCAAGTCCAAGAGGCCACTACCACTAAAGGCATTCATGACATGCCCTGGGGGGAGTTTTAACGGAAGAGCTACAAGCACTTCCCGTTACCCTGGGAAGGAGGCTCTATGGCCAGAAGCCTGATAGAGATTCAGCTGTCTCCGTGTCTGGCTCCACAGATCTTCTGTAGATGTGAGTGTGGCTCATGAGGGACAGGGAGCCAATAGTATGTGATTTAAGCATTTCTGGTATTTATAATATGATCTTTCTTACTGTACACGGGCACATGCGGTGTTTTAGGTAGCTACCTTAGCTTTTTACGCTTCAAAGCCATGCACAGCCTTAACATCAGCTTTCTCTGACAGCGAGGGCTTGGTCTTACCCTGTAATATGCCTGTCATGCCAGCCAGAGTTAAACCAGAGGTCAAGTAGGTTAGGATGGATGGTTTGCCATTCCCTGTCTTGTGCACCCGTAAGTGAAGACCAGCCTCCACCACACAAGGATGTTCTTGACAACCGCATGGGGCCAAGGGAATGCTTTGAAACATGAGCTAAAAATAAATCCTCAAAACCAACAAACAAAAAGAAGAGAGAAAGAAGAAGAGGAGGAGGAGGAAGATCATACACATCACAAGGGGCCAGCTAGACAAATCTAAAATCCACAGGCAGGTTGCCTGGAATCTTCAGATAGATAGAGCCGTAAGCCACAGACAAGAGTCTTCATCCAAGGATGCTCCAACTCTGCTTTTAAGACTTTTTACTTGATTAAGTCAGACCATTCCCATGTGCAGGCATGTATACACACCCACTTGAACACATCCATATGCCAAACCCACATCTACATACGCATGTATGAGTATGTCCAAATACATGGGTGGAGGGGGCATGCACACATGTGAACACACACCCCACATGAAGTATTTTCACAGAAACATCAAGATTGGTGTTGGACTATTCTCCAATCAAGGTGATTCATAAAACTAAGCATTAGTCTTACTAAGTGAAGACCAAAGGCTCCGTCCTTGGGCACCACATGTATTTCGCTACACTGTACACAAGGATGTGCTGTCAAAGTAAGCTTAAGTGCTAGACCCCACGGTGTGCCATGGACACTCTGTGACTAAAAGTCCCCCTGTGGGCAGCTGCAGAGCTGGGCTCCTGTCCTTGCCTTGCATCACTCTCCTTGCCTCACTTTTAGCTTTAAGATGATAATTATATAATTCCTCCCTTCCCTTTCCTTCCTCCAGAGTCTCCTACATTGCCCTTCCTACTCTCATTCAACGTCATATTTTGAAGTCTCTTTTTAATTAATTTCTGTTACATGCATATTTTTATGTATCTACAGAAGGATTCCTAAATATAACCCTTCCAGTCTATATGAGTTACTTGTACACGTGTTTTCAGGATTGACCATTCGGCACTGGACAGCCAATCGGTGTGCTCTTCCCTGTTCTCTCCCAGTTCAGCTTCCTTCTGTTGCCTCTAATCTTTGTGTAGTGTTGAGGTCTTGTGGGCTTTCTCCGATATGTCCATTGTTATTGTTCTTGTTCAACTTACATTTGGACAGTCATGTTGGTGAGACTTTGTAGCTTTTGACGTTATTAGGAGACATGGTTTCACAGCAAACTCCCTGATCCATTGGCTCTTAAAATCTTTCTGCCTCCCTTTCCCCCAATTGGTCCCTGAGCCTTAGGTGTTAGAGGGTTTTGTAGATGTATCCATTGGGCTGCACAACTCTGCATTTTGATTGGCTGTGGTTTTCTGTAGTGGTCTCCTCTTTCAAAGTTCCCTTGATAAGGAGTGAAGACTACACTTATCTGTGGGTACAAGGGCAAATGTCTATAGATTATTATTATTGTTGCTAGGGATTATGCTGACTTAGTGAATTATTGGTTGTAAATTCTCCTTTAGTAACCTTAACTTTCCTAGTCTTGAGTAGTTAGCTAGGTTTTCTGTACCAGGCAGAGTTTCCTTCCTGCTAAGTGGATCTTAAGGCCAATTTGAGAACTATTGGTTACCACCAAGTATGTTCACCACTACTATACCCTTAGGGTTATCATACCATACTGGTCATTGATATAGTTCATAGCTAGGTAGGACTGTTGATTGCCTCCCTTGTTTGGAGGCTTACATGGCATCTCCTGGTACCATCGAGGCTAGTACTCAGAGATGGGGTATTCAGGTCAGTTCCAGCTCAGGGGTCTCTGGGCTTTGTATCTGAAGTTAATGATGTCTCAGAAATAAGGATTTACTTTCTAACTCTTGTAGGCAACAAATGACAACAGCAATAGACTACATGTTTGGGGAGTCTCTTGGATATCCCTTGCCAACAACTCAAAAGAGGGCTTCTCATGTCTGGCACTGGGGGTTTTGTCAGACAGTCTTTACTCTTGGAGAAAGCACCATGATCCCATATGAGAAAAGTTAATTAAAACTATATATATATATATATATATATATATATATATATATATTTATACATATTAACATTTTTAAAGGTAAACAGTTAATAATACAATTCTTTGTGGCTTTTCAGGCATCCTTGTCTTATCCTCCTCCATCCTCTGTATTTCCCTCTCTCCCTAAAGATCCCCCCTTTTCCATTTCCATAATCATATCTCTTATACCCTACTATTCTCCTCTGTGTTGCTCCCCAAATCCCCTATTCTGTTTTATTTACCTGGTTTCTATAGTTACTAAAGTTATGTATGTACAACTGAAGGTTTAGAGGTAGAAGCGTCCAGTGAGGAGGAATGTGCAATGGTTGTCTTTCTAGGTCTGAGTTACCTCACTCACTATGACCTTTTCCAGCTCCATCCATTTATCTACAAATTTCATGACTCTGTTTTTCTTTGTAGCTGAATAGTATTCCATAGTTTAGATGTACCACACTTCCATTATCCATCCTCCAGTTGTAAGACATTTAGGCTGTTTCCATCTGCTAGCTATTGTGAGCAGCAATGCACATGGCTGAGCAAGTGTACTTGGAGTGGGATGTCAATCTTTTGGGCATATGCTGAGGAGTGATACACCTGGATGGTATAGTCGATTTATTTTCAGCCTTAGGAATTCTTCATACTGATTTCCACAGTGACTGCACCAGTTTCTTGTTCCCCTTTTAATGCCATAAATTATCTGATCAGCATATTTATAAATTAATAGTGCCCTCCCCCTACAGGAGGAGGCCACAAGTAGGGTACTTCATTGATCAGATTTAACTTGCTTCTATTACTGTCATGTTTTTGACATTTAAAATTAATCTCTAAACCTGTCTTATGATCCTTAAAGGTCATACCTCCTGAGGAGTCCAGTGGTTGTCACTATCTACTTGGTCTTTTATCTGTTTGGGTTGATTATTGTCACATGCATTTTATTTTCCCTGGTCCCTCATTTAACAATAAAACAGAATTTCTCCATGAACATCACTCTGAGATTCTTATTTTCCTGCCTAAGGTCTCTATAGACTTACTTGTCTGCCTTTCCATCTCTCTGACTCTGTTTATAAACAGTTGAATAATTCCGCTGAGCCTGTTCCCACCAGTCACATAGGATCTTCCTGTTGCTAAACCCAGTAGATATTTTAGTAGTTACAGAGCCGTCTCAAGCAGTTGGCCATCCAGACCTTTCTATGGCACTCTTTTTCACAACAGTCCCTGTTTTACACGTTCTTGGTTTTATCAGTATCTTTTAAATTCTTAGTCTCTTATTCTTCATTAATGTTACTTGCTATTTTTTTCTTTATCCTTGGTGTTTCCCAAGCTCTATCCTGTACCCTCTTTTAGCTCCTGTTCCAATTATCATTCTACTTCAAACTAGCATTTTTTTATTTCTTGGATAGCATTCTCTTTTGCCCTCTGTGTTAGTCAGTTTTCTGTTACTATGACAAAATATTTGAGAAGAAATCAACTAAAGGGAGGAACGTTTTACTTGGGTTCCTGGTTTTCCAGGTTTCTGTCCATGGTCAGTTGGGTCTATTGTTCTAGGCTTTGGGAATCAGAACATCACGGCAGAAAGTGTGTGGTAGAGACAGCGGCTCACCTCATGACAGCCAAAAGATGAAGAGGAAAGGGGATGAAATACACCCCTCAACAACTTGATGCCAGTGACCTGCTTCCTCCAACTGCATGCCCTTCTAATGTCTCCACCATTTCTCAAGAGCGCACTCAACTGTGGGATCCATAAATGAGGAGGGAACCACCGAGACCCAATTTCCTCTCAGGACTCCATGCCTGAGCTGCCACACTGAGGACCAAACTTTCAATACATGAACTTTTGAAGGACGTTTCTGATCTGATCCATGATTCTTTCCTTCTATAGTCTCAAAGTGTGTGTGTGTATGTGTGTGTGTGTGTGTGTGTGTGTGTGTGTGTGCGCGCGTGCGCGCGCGCACATGTGTTAAGGAGTGAATTCAGAGGCCAGAGGTCAAAACTGTGTGTCTTCTTCAATTTTGTTCCAACACACACACACACAAACACACACATTTTGTGACAAGGTCTTTCTCTGAACCTGGAGCTTGCCAATTTAGCTGGGCTAGCTGGCCAGTAAACTTTCTGGTTATACCTGTTTCTACCTCCCACTGCTGGGATTGCAGACCTGTCCACTGTGCCTGGGCTTTGCTGTGGGTCCTGGGGATCCAAACTCAGGTTTCCTGCTTGGATAACCAATGTTTCACTCACTAAGCTATTCCCCAGCTCCTAGAGTAATCTTTTAAAATTCCTCTTTAGGGCCATGACTTTCATTGACTCTTAAACGATTCTAAGTGAGATCCACAAGACTCTACATGACCTGAGTGCTGCCCCTTCTCTGTCTTTTCCCCTCTCTGGCTTTTCCTCCATGCTTGGGTTCTTCCTACTGCCCTCTTGAAATACAGTGTATTCCCTCACAGCCTAGCAATTTCCCTTTTCTGATATTTTTCAGTTCTAAAGCTCTCCATTCAGTGAGTTGATTCTTGCCCACCTTCACCTGTCGGTTCAAACATCCCTCTCTAGAGAAGGTAGCCCTGACCACTAGATCACATCTCATCCTCTGATTCAAGTCACTCCAAGTTTTTTTCTCTTGTAGCTTGTGCCATAATTTACCATCAGGAATTTATTTGCTTGACTATTTAATCAACAGCAGCTTCTTCCTTTAGAATCTAAGCCCCCGGAGAGGAAGGGCCATCATGTTTACCTTTCTCATTATATCAGCCCTTGTGCCTTCACCAGACACAGTGCTAGTCACACACTGAGAACCAGGATGCATTTGTTGAATAAATATTGACATAGAATTGTGTTGACACATTGGCAAATTTTAATCAAGCAAACAAACCAAAAAAATGAATTTATTGATTTCTTACTATGTATCCAGAACTGTTAAAAGTCCAAATAAAGGGAGAAATAGTAAAACAAATTTTTTTTTTTTTTGAGACAGGGTTTCTCTATGTGGCTTTGGTGCCTGTACTGGATCTCGCTCTGTAGACCAGGCTGGCCTCAGAGAGATCCAACTGGCTCTGCCTCCTGAGTGCTGGGATTAAAGGTGTGTGCCACCACTGCCCAGCCTGAGAAATAGTAAATTTAAGGATAGTGCTTGCTAATGTTCTGTGGGGTCATGTCAAAAATGTGTCTTAGGTGACCTCTGATTATTGGCTCAGGTCATCTTCTAAGTTTTCTATACTGTCTAAAACATGGGGATATTTAGAGCCAAACACTATGCCTGTAATCCTAGTTCCTTGAGCAGTTGGGGTAGGGGAATTAGGTCAGTCTGGGTAATTCCATGAGACCATCTCAAAAGAAGAGAGAGAGAGAGAGAGAGAGAGAGAGAGAGAGAGAGAGAGAGAGAGAGAGA